ATCTTAGTTGATGGGAATGCATACATAGATGGATTGTTGTTGAAATCCCAACAACACCCACTCTTCACTTACTCTTACTTATGAAGAGAAGCAGGATAGTAAACTACATTTTCTGGATGTCTTGCTAAGTAGGTGAGAAGTTTAGTCACTTGGGAAAAACGTGTGTAGAAAAAGCGCACTCACAGGGCTGTACACACAACCTTAGGTACGTGCCCATTAAATTTAAAAGGAATGTTGTTAAATGTCTTGCGAGCAGAGCAAGAAAGATATGTACGGATGATCACTTACAAAAAGAAACAGAATATATTTATGATTCCTTGACGGAGATGGGCTATCCGAGTAGTTTCATAAAGAAACATATGAAAACATCAGAGAAAAAACCTGAGACTCTGACTGCACGTAAGAAACCTCTATTTATTAAGTTCCAATTGAATGGTGACTTATCAAGTGAGATTTTATTCCAGAGACTTTCCAGGAGTATACGAAGAACATTTTACGCAGCACACCTATCTTTGTCATTCTCTAGCCGACGAATGATTTGGACGCAAACGAAGGATAAGCTAGATAGTTTTGCCACATCTGTGTGCATTTATCAATTCAACTGCACCTGCGGTGGCAGTTATTTTGGGCACATTACTACTAGACAGCTTAGTCAACGTGTTACTGAACATCTCCCATGGTGGTTTGGTAAAAGACAGACAAAAACAATCTGTAACTCAGTTTTTCACACTTAGTTGATAGTGGTCATTTAGTGGAGAAGACGAAGACATTCAAGGCAATTTATCGTATCCCACTGAATCTTTCCAATGGACTTCGTATTCGTCTACTGCACACAGCTGAGGCGATAAGCATTCGAACTATTAAACCTAAGGTATGCATTCAAAAAAGTTCGTGCAGCCATTATCCTTCCCTTGGCCTATTGACATAACCAACTAATGACTTCCACACCATCCCTTGTTTATATTTTCAACCCCTTTCTTATCATCCCTTAATCTTATCACATCTTCATTATAAACGTGTTTCATTTACTTCCCTTACAATCTAGCACTACTTAATCGGTTCATTTGTTTTTACTAGCCTTTATCGACTACTTCCACCTGAACATTTGTTTGTTTAGTCATGATGTTTTTCGTTATTCTTGTTATCACAGATAGCCTCACTTTTTCATCCTTGTTACTGATAGAACCATTACTATTATGATTATCAATATTATTATGACTAGTTGTACGATTTATATGCACAATCTTATTATCCTATTGACAGAACACTGTGGTTGGTTTATATTTGAATTTTTATTTGTCAAGCTATTACAGTTAAGGCTGATGAGGTCTATTGATATAAGAATAAAACTTGTGCACTGTGGTAGAGTGTAATTCCATTATGAGTAAAATTTGTCTTGATAAAGTCTCACAGTGTTATGCAGTAATGTTTACTGATGACGTTTCGAGCACAATTTATTGCTCATAATCATTATATCAAGGTACTCACAGGACTTTTAACTTCATTTATATAGTTCCATTATTTTGCACTTGATTTTTGCTTGAGAGAGAGAGAGATTGATTACTGAATGCTTGTTTATCGAGTCTACACCCAACACATGCAGTAGGAATGACTCATCACTCATACCCGAAATATGGAGAATACTATTACGAATCAAATCAAGCGAAAATCAAGTGTAAAATAATGGAACTATATAAATGAAGTTAAAAAGTAGTGTGATTACCTTGATATGATTATAAGCAATAAATTGTGCTCGAAACGTCATCAGTAAACATCATTGTATAACACTGGGAGACTTTATCAAAACAGATTTTACCCATAACTGATGGGATCTAATGAAGACAATATTGTTAGCTTAAATATATTGTTCTAAATATTACAAGTATCTAGAGCATAGGTGTTGCAAGGTCCCTAGAATTATTTAAAATAATTCCAGCGTGTCTGTGTGTCAAATAATATACATTATACTGGCGACAACAACGATAATAATCATAATGACCATAATAATTATAAGCATCATTGACCCACACATCACCGTCACTGTTTAAAATCTTACATAGTTAAAGTTGTGTACATATTGAGAAGGAGCTTGACGAAGGTCTGATTGAAAACAGTATTGCTAAACTTTTATATCTTTTAATTTTAACAATAAGAACTTTTAAAAATCAATTGTTTTCAATGTTTTCAGCTTGAAAGTCTATCAAAACCTAAATTCTGCCAAACAAATGTCACAATTTAATACCAGAACTAGTAATCAAAACTTTTCAAATTGCTCAAAATTCTTAATAAGCACCTTCTAGATTAATCTCAAGTAGAAACGCGATGACTGCCCACTACTTCGTATTTCGTTCATTATTCTTAGTTCTAATTTATAGCTGGAGCGAGTATATATGCTCTGTGAAAAAGGAATAAAGTACCACTATATGAGTTTACGAATTAGACAGAAGATAATGGCAGTTGTTGGTTTTGGGAGCTTCAATTCCACTACCCAGCGATTATTCGACAACTATTTGACGACTCAGTTAAATAGTTACCTACTTGCTAACTTAATCGCTAATGTTCTCTCAGTTATCAGTTATCTGTCTTCTATTTCCTGCATTTTCTTATTCCCCTAGTAAAGTATAACTTTGACAGGATCTACATGGTATTTTTCCAGTGATAAGTAATAACAACTGTATGCATATACAACATGTGTGCTTTCTCTGTGCATACATTGGTACTGAGTGAAATTACGAATGCTATTGTTCTAATAATATCATTTCTTTATAACACCTTTCACTGTCGTGATGATTTACTGTTCTAACATATTCTGCTGTCTATATGTGTGTATGTGCATTAAAGATAAGTGGATTTCGTATGGGTATTCTGTATCCTTTCTTTATTACTTAGTCTGATTCTGTATTTTGACATCCCATGCATACAGTCAACATAGAAGGTGGTGTTAGGCTACTTTATACCTTAATATACATTTCTTTTGCATGTGTATCTCATTAAAACTGTATAGATAAATGTATCATAATAACATTACTTACAAGGTGGTAGGTGAGAATCCGAAAAGTTTTTTAGTTGTCCACTGATTTTTATTTTTTCTAACAAATTGATGTGTACCATGTACTGGATGAAAATCTAAAAAGGTGGTAAAATAACTAGAGGTGTTCACTTCTGATGTCTACTGGTATCAGTTGCAAGGCTCTTGGACTTTGTGCAGGAAAGTGTTGACGATTGAACCATTAGATTTGATTTAGATAATTGTAGCATTCAATTTCATGATGCAATTTGAAGTATTCTATGTTTTTATGTGCATTAGTAACACTTTGGCTCAAGAGGGTTTCGTGTGTTTTTGGAAGTGTGTGGGCAGTTGTTACTTCCTGGCCGCCCACACCGTGGAAGTCGATTTTTTCTTCGAGTACCTGAAACAGAAAAAGAATTAGTGTTGAGTGACTTCAAAGCCCAGGGGACAACTGCTTGAGGCCGGTCACACATGGCCTGTATGAACTGGTTTCTTGGATGGATTACGGACCACTGTAGGGTAAGTCGGGATGTACAACTTTCGGGGTCGACCCTTTCTAAACCCCTGTCTCGAGAGTGTAGAGACAGCATAGTTGGCATGCTGATCGTCTGAGGGAAACACCTTACTGCCGTTATATCCCTGTTCCCCAGCAGCACGACTTCGCCCACAGACCCCCAGTATAGTGTGAAAAACAAATTCCTACACTATGCCGGTAACTGCTTTTAGTCTAATCTCTATCCTAACAATCTTCCTGGCATGGTAGGGCCTGCAGGAACATTAGTTCCAGCCAGTTTAACTTGTCGGGTCATTGCGATATGCAGTTCCGACCACCACGTCTAGGTGGCAGCTATCGGTAGAAAACATTATCAGGGCGAGGCGCATGCATGTAGCGCACAGCCTTCTTTAAACATTGCACACAGCTATTAGGTCGTGTGCTATCTCACCGCTCTTGGCATATCTGGCGACAAAAGTCACAAAAGCACCATTAGAGCAGGTGACAGGTTAGGTAACCCATTCTTGGCTCATTATGTAAAGAAGTTATAATGGAGTTTAATAATGTGTTAATAAATGTGTGGTCTTTTGTCTTATACATCCTAATACTACTTACCCTTTCGTGTGGGCACTAAAGTATTCATTCAGAAATCTAACACGGGATAATACATGAAATTAATGAGTCTCTAAATCACACTCTAATTTATTCGTAAGCAATATCGGGTTTAGTGATAGACAATAGTCAGGCGATCACATTTATGTTGTACAGTAATTAACTCAGCTCTGAAGTAAAATCAGATCAAACCATCCAAATATTTATCAATATTGCCTTTTAAACCTATTTTTTCTTGGCGTTTCAGGTTTCATACAGTAAGTTGTAAGAAAATGTCATCTTGACTTGTGTGTACTCTGCAAATGATTAATTGCATTCAAGTTAGAAGTACAACTGACCATCTTTCGAAAATGTGGTCTAATTCTAAAAGTTCATATTTCCTAAATAACTTGAAGATTTAGCTTCTTTGAGCTACATATGTTATATCGTATTCTGACTGAGTTTTCAAGTCGCACACAACGATAGGGAGGAAAAAAAATATTCAGAGGAATGGAAAGGTATGGAAGAATGAATCATAAGAATTTAATAAATATAGAAGTTTATAAGGAAGTGAATACATCTGTGCCATTGAGTACGATCCCATCCTCCTTTTTTTTAAAGATCAATATTTTCATGAGTTGCTTTGTTTTTCAAGTTTGACCATGGATTGATATCAGTTAGAGAGCCATTGAAATCCAGCAGGGATTACTAGACAGTTGTTTCGTCCTAGTTTGGGACTCATTGGCAGTACGCACCCACGGGTTAAAGATCAGTATGTTGAACAGTGTAGTGAGAGTTAAAAAAAAGTGTTCACTTTACTATTTTTTTAGCTCTCCGCATATAGCAAAACTTTCATGACACTTCAATTTCCTTTTTTCTTTTCTTTTTGTTTTCTACTCTAAATAGAATGCATTTGTTCCAATGTTTGTTATCAAATATCAACGGGAAGATAATTCAAAGTGGTATGAGTATCGGATGAGGAATGGAAGCAGGGTAAGTTGCGCTGATACCAACTCTCAGTTAGTACTCTATTCTGCATTAATATTCATACTTTGTAAATATTTGCTGATTGTGTCAATTAGGATATTGATTAGGAATGTGTAAAATTGACAAATATCAAAGAGATTCACCTTATACATGCAGGAATTACTGATAGGATTTTTTTACATATACAACTGATGTACTTCACATAGACTATTGGACTTAGAGAATGATTCTGTCCCGTGTAATGGATTTCATTGTTCTTTCGGGAATGTTATCATATATCATCTGTGTTTTATAGATACAAGACTAGCCAAACCCTTCAACTGATCCTAATCTTGATCGAAATCATAAATACAATGAGTATTCTGTTTCCATACTCCTTATCAAACTAGTTTCATTAGGTAAATATTCCTCGATATGCAGTATTTCATTTTCAGACTGTAATTTAACTTCCCTGTCCTACTTATCAACCTTCAATTCCTTTCCTTAAACTCTTAAGCCTTTCAAATGTTAGTTATCTCTTTCCGTTGCATCATTTTCACACGTATTATTGGTATCCGCAGTGTTAAACACTTTGTAATTCTACTAACTACAGTCCCTTCACTTATTGTCATCGTCTATATTCTGTTGTAAAGCACACAATTAGTAGTGAATAATCAATTTTATTTACGCGTAAAAATTGTTTTTCTTTAAACTCATTTTTTTCGTATTCTTTGCTTTATAAGAAGGATATGGATGTATTTTGGAGTATGAAGTGAGAGTATCTTCACTCCTAGGAACACTACAGTTCACTTGTTGTTAATAGTCACTCTTAATGGAAGAATCCTAAGTACTAATCAATATACCGTTGACCTTATATGCACATGTCTAGCAACTATATAATATATATATATATATATATATATATATATATATATCGATTGCTCAGTGTGTAAACAACTTTTTAACAGTCCTATTTAACACTTTTGTCTAACACTCTCACAGTGAGAAGTATACTTGTCAGAAAGGTAATATGTTAAGAGTTTTCATCTTTCGATGACTTTTGAAATTTGAATGATATATAGTAGTAAGGTAGGTAGGTGTATATAGAACATAAATGTGCTGTTGAACTCCTCCTATGTGTTCCACTCGGAACTTAAGAGAATACTACCAATAATAATATGAACGTAAATCATCTAGATAAAAAGTTGAAGGAAGTTAAAGTGAGTGAGTTAGTGAATAAAATACGTCTTAATTTTCATAACTTTGAGGTGAAGTGAAGAAGTCATCGTTTTCATTGAATGATTGCATCATTTTAGTAAAAAATAAAGGTTATATATCACTCACTGAAGAATATATATATATATATATATATATATAAGGTTATGTGTTTCATTAGCCTAAGGTCACGATATCATATAACATTTCAGCTAGTTGATTTGACGTCTGACAACAACAACACCAACAAAAAGAATTAACTATTATGTCATTGATAATAAGGACTCATAGTAAGGATTTAATAGATTATTGACGGTCTAATCATTCAACCAAAGCGTTATGATTTAATCTCTTATTGAAGGAAAATAATATGTCAATTATATTTCTGAATGAAAACTGACATATCGTATGCTATGAAGTATAAAATAGATAAATAGTATTGACTACTATATATATGAGCATTGTTTAAACTATATCACTAATGATAATTGCTACTATTGTATAAAAGCGTTATTATCTAACGCAAACACCGATAGAATACCAGTATTTCATATCAGTTGAACATAGAGGGATTGATAATTTTCTGTGACAGTGTGTTTGACAAACTTGACTACTTCTCAAATCTGAAGCTGAATAGTTTTATCGAACCGAGATGTGATATGGAACAATATAGCATAGTTACCCACACCATTCTTGTTTGCTTTCCTTAACTCTAGGTAAGCAATAATAGTGGGAATTCATTATAAACTCCTCATTTTTAAGAATATTCTGTGTGTGTGTTTGTGCGTGGTACAATACCAGTTGTCATCTAGACAGATGTAACGTAGGTGTAATTCACATATTGACTATTTCTCAAGTATTGGTTTTGTAGGGATTTCACCATGAGCTGACATGGTGAAATCCTCCATACAATCAAACAAAATCCCTACAAAACCAATACTTGAAAATTATTCTGATGCTCACTAGTGACTGGCCCTATTCAGGCAGTTAACTTGGGGTTCTAGTGGGAAGCCGTGACCAGTAGGGTACAGCAGGTTGAAGATGAGGCAGTAACTCATCGAAGAAGATATTGCGAAATGGTCGCGCTATGTCGTGAACTGGCAGAAGTTAGAGTTCAAGAACCATTGGATCGGGTCCCAGTGGCTCAATGGTCTATGAGCTCGCTAGCCTTGTAACCAGAAGGTCGTGGGTTCCAACCCCGGTGGCTCCGTACTGGTGGAGAGTCCCAAACTAGGGTGAAACAGCTGTCCATTACTCCCAGGTGGTTTCCTAGTGGTTCTCTAACTGATGTTAACTATTTCTGTTGAACCGTATAAAATACTTCCTAGACATCTGTAACGCGAAGTCAACTCATCGTGATTTCATATTAATTAGACATCTATCTTAATCAGCTTGTTTTTGACAAAATAATCAGAACCTGTAACAAATGGTGTTGACTGTTAAAAAATGTAGATATGACCTGAGCCATTATTATTATTATACCTTTACGTTCCCAGTAGAACATAGGGCTTCAAGCTAGAGAGGCTTGAAGTTTCGGTTGCAGTGATGTTTATTTTTCCGGCCTGAGCTTGCATCATCTAAATCTACTGAAGCCTGCTTTTGGCACCATCGTAGCATCAATATTTTTAATTTCTTTGGAATTCACCTTATTCTATCAGAGTTATCCGATTGTATGAAGTAAATAAAGAACACTACGTAGGCTGTTTGCCTATTTTACAGTATTGGTATTTTTGTAGGATAGAATGATGATAACTCTGTCAACTGCTTCTTGAATTTCCTCATGGACCACATGATAAATTTCCTCTTACTTTATTTTTATGCCAAGGTTTTGCATTATCAGATTTGACTGTGCTTAGAATTCACTTTTTGATCGATGTATATTAGAATTATTCCACGCTAGTTGGCGAAGCATGAGTTATGTTGTTCATTTCAGTGTAGTTTGATATATATATCCTTAACTGTGTAAAAGCTGTGGAATATTTAGAGGAAATTCAATTAACAGCAGTTATCATTTGAAATGAGCTCAAACATTAGCAGGAGTAGAATAGCCATAAGTTATGGACACTATGGTCTATAACACTACTAATGATTATGTGACTTCATAATATATCAGTAAGTAATGGAGATGGATTGAACATACACTGAGGAGTCCGTTGAATAATGACATCACTGGCGAAGTCCTTGAATGAAACCAGAATGCAAAACGATGAGTTGAGTGTCTGAGGATAACATGGAGGAGATCATTCACCTAGAACAGATTTTTATAATAATAATAATTTGCTTTATTCCAAAACAGTACGTGTGATACAGAATGGAATTCTCAGCATTTTACTACAGTATTGCATCCAGTTAGTAAATCAACAGTAAATAAAATTCTACATAGGTTAAGGTAATCTCAGTTAGTTTTGACAATAATATATTAGCATGTCGGTAGCAAAACCCAAAATTAAACAGACTGTTTGAAGGTGCTAGAAAAGCAGATGGTAGCATATTTACTGGCGTAAGCAGAAGAAAGAAAAAAAGGAGCGCATAACAGAGAAAAAAAAAGAGAGAGAAAAGGAAAAGAAAGAAAGAAAACGTACCTATAAATGATATGAATTGGAAAGACGAGATCCAGTTGTTCTACTGACTACTTAATAAGTTATAGGTATCACGCCTAATGCTTTCTTTATCGCACAGAACACGAGCTAAGTAGGCTATGGTTGAGTTTTTGTACTTGCTAGTCCTAGCATATAGTTTTCTATATAGGCTTCTGGTTTTCCCTGATGAGATACAAGGGGACAGTTGTGAATGAACAGGGTGTTTTGAGTTAGATAAAATGGATTTTGCCCACTTTTCACATGACTCCAAGTGCCTATCGACCAGAATATTAACAAGCTGGTTAAGTGGCACATTGCTTACCCTGCTGACAACCTTTAACATCCTGCGTAATAAGGTATAGTCTTTTTTCAGTAGCCCTGGGAAAACTAAGGGGAACAATAGAGAATAATAGGCAGAATACGGGAGTTAACGAACTGTAGGAGTAGGGGTTGGGTTATACCAGAATGTCTTAACTTCTTGATGTAGAAGGTAAGACGGAATATTTTCTCAGGAATCATCAAGATATGAGACGACCAGGAAAGATCAGCAGATAGAATGACGCCTAGATATTTAATTTCAAACTTTTCATGTACCTGATTGTGAGCCACATTTATTGTGTGAGGGGTGATGGCACCATCCAGTTGCTCAGGGTGACATAGGCAGAACGGGATTTGAATATAGGATTCAATTAGCTGAAAGCCGACTGCTTAAGCCCGTTAGCCACGTTATTGGACTTCGTTTTACTAATGTGTGTTTCATGTACTTCAGTTATAATCCAATAGTCATTCAAATGATTCATTGGAATTCTTAAGGCATTTAATTCTCAATTTAAATAAACAAAACTATTAACTGAAAGTATTTATAACACAGCTAGATTGAAAATGTTCTCTTAAATCTACACAATCTCTTGTAGCCTATTTTTTTATGCTTTCGGTTTCTTTTTATTCTCAATTATCACTTAACTCTCATTTCAGCACAAGCTTTCATTTAATATTTGATACTTTAATAATGCTGTTTTTATTAGTTATTCACAGGTTGAAGTAACGCTTAAGTGTACCTTGACATTTACACAGATTTATCTCTTCGTTTTGTAGATTTGACAATTCTTTAAAATTACTTTGGCTTTTATTGCAGATTTATATTGATAAAAGAAAGCGCGCGCGAGAGAGAGAGAGATAGACAGAGGGAGGGAATTTTGATTACTTTAATATTGGGCTTAGATTTCTTTGAATATCCATTTTTGAGAATCATACCGGTGGTACACATGCATCACGCGAACAAACATACATGTGCAGATATCACAAGGATGTGTATGCACAGGGGTGGAGAGAGAACGAAAAAATTAGTATCTGTTTGCTGCACATATTGCTTACTGCTTTCATTGAGATTAATTTTGTTCTATTAAGTAACTTCATGTATCTCCTCTAATTTCCATGCCCATGTGTGTGTGTCTGTAAGTTGTTGTCTTGATGGAACTACGAAGTCAAATCCCTGTTATATTTCATGTTTGTTTGCACATATATGTGTGTTGCGTGCACATTTATATGTGCCTATCGAAAATTATTTTAATGAAAGCAATTGATTTATGATGTTGCTGTTGTTGATGTTGAAGAGCAAATCTCAAAATTATTTTTTGTCTATTTTTTTTGCCTGACCATTTTTAATGAACTCCGAGTCAGTAGTAGATGAATATTTAAAAAAAAACACATAAATCAAAAATTTTGCTGTCTTGAAGAGAAACGAGTATTTTGTCTTTCAGTATTCACTTTCATCCTTATCTTAGTTGGACACACAAACATAAAAACATGCAGTTGCATTAACTGATATCTACTTCCTTAGGGGGTTGTCCCTCTGTTTTTTTGTTGATAATTTTTCAATAATAAGTTAGAATTTAACAGAAGCAAATTTAATTTGCTATTTTCATGTTTGTTTTTTTAAATTTTATTTTTAAAATACCAGCTACTTCATGCTAATCGTAATAGTCAGACTATAGCAATTCAGCTGGACCCACCAATTATCGCTAAACGATTTCGTGTATTGCCTTACACTAATGAACCGAATCCTAAGTTAATGTGCCTTCGATTAGCTGTCTATGGATCAGTGTTTGACGGTGAGTAGTTTGATTTTCTGCGTTTATTAAATTATTTTTCACTAGTCTGAATTACCAGTGTGTTGGTGGCCTAGCGGTTAGGAGGCTTGCCGACCATGCACATGGTCCGGGGTTCGATCCCCTGTGGTGGACCTTAGACCTTAGAAATAAAAATACCAGATCAGTGAAGTTGGTGGAAGAATATATTTAAATTTGTTACTTGAGTTATTACAAGGTGCAAATTCAAAATTAACGTAGTAGACTCCAGAAGTGTTGTGAGAAGACCGCTCCAATCTTAATTCTACAATATCAATATTGCCTGAGGTCGACCAAGGTAACATAGGGAGAAAATACGGCATCCCTGCGAAATTTTGAAATAGAAGGTAGGTGATTAGAATTGGCCGATGGCATTTGAGATGGTGGAGAAGACGGAGAGTTCTAGGCAGAACTATATTTTCATTCAAACCATGAGGTTAAGTTCAAAGTACAGAGGTTCTGATTAAAACAAAGTAATGCACAATATGTTCATTTCTCACATAGTAGTAAAAGTTGGATCAGTTTATTTTTGAGGACTCCACACCCCGGCCGACGCACTCCTTTACCTCGCTAAGCCAGAAATAATTCTGGTAAAGAGGGAAGATTTGGCATGAGACTAGAAACCCCATCCTGTGAAATAAACACTGCTACAGAAACTTCAAGCGACTAGCTTGAGGCCCTATGTTCCAATGGGGAACGTGAAGGAAAAAGAAAGAGAAGTCTGAATTACCAGCGCTGATTCCTTATGCTATCCCGTCATATAAGCATTTATTATTTTCAATTTCCACATGTACCAGCATCAGTTAGTGAGGTCTTTTGAAGAACAAACAGCTGTCTCGTTCTATTCTGCAACTCTTCATCAGTGTGCACTCATGACCTGATCTGATATCGAACCTAGGACTTTCAAGTTATGAAATCAAGCCACTTGGGCTGAATTTCAATGGCCTATTAATTCTAACTTTGTCATTTTGTTGTTATATAACGCTATTCTCAACCAAAAAAATGGGACGAAACAGTTGTCTAGTAGTCCTTGGTTTTCAATATTCTCTCTAACCGATGTTGTTTGTTGACGAAATCGAACAAGGTGCAATCAATCGAAATTCCCACGAAATCCCATAATCTGACTATATCAATTATTAGTTCACATTGTCATCATCGTCATCATTGTGTGTGAAAAAAAAACTACCCATTGCAGACGAATAGTTTATTTGCATATATGTAATAAACAATATATTCTACATTAAATAATTCAATCGTGTCACTTATAGTTTACTAAAACTGTGTTGATTAATTCTCAATTATATACTAAATTTTGACAGATTATAATTATGTCTTGAATCATATTCTGGTGTTGTATGGTGTGCTAAATTTAATTTCGAAAATTATCACCTTTTTCTTCATTTAAAAATCTCATCTCACAATATATATATATATATATATATATATATATCACGTATTCACTTCACATTATTGCAGTTAGCATGTACTTCAGATGACTTCAACATATTGTGATATCGAGAGAAATGTCGAAATACAAAAAAACTGTCTTTATAGTAAGGTTATTGCCTGTCTGTAAGTATGGTATGTGCTTTGCGCCGTCTAAGTGCAAAGTACTGTTACAAGATTGGCAGGAGCCTGTACCTGCACTCACTCTTGAGGCTGAACCGCTTGAAGTTGTTGATAAGTTCGTGTATCTGGGTAGTTGTGTGAGTGCTGGCGGAGGGTAGACGGATGAGATTTCCAACCGTATAATGAAGGCTAGGGTGGTATGCATCAACTTGAGCCACCTCTGGCGCCGTCGCGACGTTAGCCTGGCTGTCAAAGGTCGGGTATACAATGCTTCGGTTCGGGCGGGCTGTCTTGCTCTACGCCTGTGAAACTTGGCCTCTCCGAGTAGGCTGAAGATGTTTGCGACTCTGAGTGTTGGATGATCACTGTCTCTGCAGGATTGCTTGAGTTCGATGGAATCATCGCGTGAGTAATTCTGAGGTTCGGCGACGTGTGTTTGAACACAGTTGAGATCACCATTCATTGAGTGTTGTCATCTGGAAACACCGGCTCCGGTGGCTTGGATATATGCTTCGAATGTGCTCCCAGAGGCGTCCGTACAGGTCTCTGTTCGCTAGCCACCCTGGGACGGGATGGAAAAGGCGGAGAGGTGGTCAGTCCATGATGTGGCGTCGTGGGATGAAGTATGTTTGTGCTAGATTAGCATCGGTTGGTGTGTCACGACTCCCTGGTTGGGGTCCGCGAGATAGCTCGAATCGATGGCTCGAAACTTTATCGGATATGGCCAAGAATCGTAATCAATGGCGAACGTGTTTCAATTTCCTTCTTTCTTCCCTTCCCGATGATAGTTAACGAATACTGTTTGAACTTGTTAATCATGACTGTTTTCCTTCCAGATGAAGTTCTTGATCCGTTCTCTACTTGTATTTTTGCTTTAAATCTATGTTGTTTTATTATTATTGTGTGGCGCATCTCTTTTGGTGCCATATTGTACCAAGTCTTTTCCGCATTTAAATAAATAAAGTAAAATTGCGTCTAAAATGTGAAATTCACTTTTACTGAAATTGAACTATTGTTGATATTATCAATTGTTACTTGATGTTGAAAATTGAAAGAAAATTTCGATTACGTTTATAATTATGCTAGTGAACTTGTAATTAAACAGATATTCTTTTTGTTAAGGTGCGATTTTCATTTCAATTTCTATTCGGTTACTGTGTCTACTGTGCTATCTACACTTTGCATAAAAAGCACACCAGATGACTAAAATTATCTTCGAAATCTGTATGACTGAGAAGTCAGACTCATTTATTCTAGTTGGAAATGTTTTATATTTTGTTTCCATGTCTATGTGTGCTATGTGTGTGTGTGGTCGGTTTTAACATTTTCATAAGATGAAAAATTCATATACTTGACGTTATTTCCACATATGTTAATCTCCTACACAAATCACTTCGTCATAGTGTCCAATGTGGCTATCAAAAGCCAGGTGTAAATAGGTTTCAATTGTCTGCTTCTATATATCTACCTGTTTAGTGCGTAGCCATTTCAATTGTGAAATTATTCCCAGATCGTGGAGTTTTCAAATTGTTGTCTGCATTTATTGATAATATTCATATACAGTTATATATTTTTGTTTAATATTGGCTCTTAATCATCGACTTCGAAAAGGCTTTCAACAGAGTTGAGCAGGAAGTAATTTGGAAACTACCTCAGTACTATGGCGTGCAGCACCTCAAATCAACAACGGTGTCACGTGTTAGGTGATCCACAATGGAGAACTAAGTTAGGCCTTTGAAATGAATACAGGAGTAAGACAAAACTGCCTATTATCACTGATAATATTCTTAATTGTGGTGGACTGGATTATGCATCAGACTGTGTTTGGGAGTGAGAAGACAGCAGTACTCTGGATCGATCGGGAGACTCTAGAAGATCTGGATTCCACAGATGTCACACAGGCTAGGAGACTTGCAAGCGAAAATGAACAGTCTGGTTGAAGAGGCAACGAAGACAGCACTCCAGGTGAACATCGAGAATAGGGAGGGAAAGATGACTAACTATCATCAACAAACAGAACTAATCACCACCTACGGCAGAAGTTTGACATAGGTCACTTCTTGCCTTCACTTATCTAGGAAGCATCGTTTCAACCACAGGCGGAACGGATGATGTCAAAGCCAGTGAGAATTGGAAAGACAAGGTACACTTTCATCATTCTGAAACCAGTTTGCAAATTTTCTGCACTCAGCATAAAGAACAAGATTCGGATTTCCAGCACCGATGTCAAGCCAGTTCTTTTATGCTGGTCAGAAGCTTTGCACAGCATGAAAATCATTTCCGACAGGTTAGGGACTTTTATCAACAGCTGCCTTCGCTGGCTGGTTCCATACTGAGGATCAAATGGCTGGTCGGCCAGAAAGAACTAGCAACAAGGAACTCTGACGATGAACAAACCAACCAAGAGCCTATTGCTCAACAAATATTCCAAAGAAGATGAAGATGGATCGGATATATGTTGAGGAGATCGTCGAATGACATTGGGCTCCAGGCCACTGCTCGAGTGGGTCATCCTAGGTTGACATGGAGATCGCGCGAGAAAGAGACGAGAGATTATGGGCGATCGTGGGTCCAGCTGATGAGAACAGTAGAAAATGGAAGAAAGTGGAAATGTGTTATTAAAGTCCCATATTCCACTGAGAACCAAAGGGAACAATAAATAATAACCCTGACTTTAGTATCCAGCATTTGTTATCAGATGCATTTTCTGATCTTATAAAAATCGAGGAAAAGGATTAGGTTATTCAATCCTCTTGAAATCAAAGTGTAGTATCAGATAAGATTTTATTCGTCTAACATAGTCATACGTAAATACACACAATGAAAACAACCCGTTAAATATTCTTTGTACCATATGGGATAATGCTGTTCATTTGTCTTTCTTATAGTCGTAAAATGGGATTATTGTCTGTAAACCATTTCAAATCATTTTAGCTTTTAAAGTCAGATTAAATCCTTTTGAATTTAGAATTATATATCTCTTGATATTTCCCTATTTGGTAGATGGAGTTATTGAATATTCAATTCCTGAAGGAGATGTATATCGACTTGATCCACGTGGAGATTTTGCTTTGAATGATACAAGCTATGATGGAGGGTTAACTTCAGAATTATCTGCAACCAGTAATGATCCAGATAACACAGGTGAACGACGCGCTTATCTTACTGGTGGTATGGGTTTACTTATGGATAAACAGTACTTTGAAGGAAGTCTTCCTGAGAATTTAGGCAGTAATAGCGTTGTCGGCTGGTTTCGAAGACAACATACAACTCCATCTGGTCGTATTACCATGTTATTCAAATTCGATCAAGGTTAGTCTTCTGTTTGCTAATCTTCATTATATTTGTCTCAAGTCGTCAGCATGACCCCATAAACATATAGATGGTGTTTCTAAAGACATGCTTTTACAGCTTGATAACGTAGCAGTAAATGGGAATTTGGATAATTGTAAAATAGTGTTTTCACTGTGCTACAGGAAAGAGTACATTGCGAGCATGAGGGTATAAAAGTTAACAGTTTGCTTGTAAATATTAACTACTGCTGTAGACGTTGTCTAGAATGACCATTAAAGCTTCCTAATTAAGCCAGACAATTGATAAGAAACATAACGACAATAAAACATCTGTGTTGATAAGCTGAAATAGCACGTTCGTTAGTCGACTTTTACAATGAAAAGTGATGCTAATACAATTTGTTTCATGAAACTTAACTAACATAATTTCGTTTATTCAAAAAAGATATAAGATTAAGACGATACTGAACTTTATTTTATGCATCATATTTCTCCTAACTGGGTGAAGCTAAAAGCTATCGCAAGGTGTTTCCACGCATGGTATACCTGACTCCACGACAGATATTCTATCTGCGTAAAAAATGTCGATAAAGTACCTTTAAAACAACCGAACGTATATTTATTGGGACTACAGCCTTCCTCCAAGCGCGTAATATAAAACCAAACAATACTTAGTACCTGAGAGAATTCAAACCCTTAACTGACCGCCTCCGTTCTTCTACCCATTTAAGTAGACTGGAACCAAAGCGCGTCAAGTTTGTATTCCTATAACTTACATATTCACTACTTCCAATATCACTGGATTTTTAAATTATCTCGTCACTGACCTATTTTACAAAATTTTACTGTCCCATTATCGTTTCTCAGTGTCTCTTTCTCTCTTAAAAACCTAAGATGCAAACTTTATTTTAAATTTCTCCCAGTGATGCAGTATTAACAACTGAATGGCATTTCGAGCATAAATTATTGCTCACAATCATATCAATTTAGTCACATGGCTTCACAGTTTGTCTTATATATCCGCCATGTGACTGAATTGGTATGATTATGAACAATATTTTATGCTCGAAACGTCATCCAATTGTTAATACTTCATTATTTAATATGGGATTACATTCTACCATAGTGCCCAAATTCTACACACTTACATTAACAAACCTTAATCACTTTGTATACACACGTTAAGGGTTTAAAATGAAAATAATATCAGTGAATTCACCTATAATGTATCTACATATTACGTTCTTTTTTTCAAACAAAGTGTGTCTTCTATTTGTGTGACATTTAATTCCACACATATATTCAGATAATAATTATACTGTCTGCATAGTGTTTACACTAGACCGAGAATGAAGACCACAGGTATTCAAATTCATTGATATAATATCGGTAATTCTTGAGTTATGAGTGAAACGTTATTTTCAGCTAAACATCTGCTAAAATTAACTTAATAAGATTATTTATTAGTGAAAATGATTTTTTATTACTACCTTATATTAATCAGACAGCAGTTCGTTAACGTGTGTGCCTCGAAAAGAAATCAAACATTTTATTATAACGAATTTGTTAGGCTTTTTAGAGAAAAAATAATTTCTTAAGAGGCATAGATTCATTCAATCACTACAAGTTCTAAATGTGATCAGTTTGTTTCAATGGTTACAAGTTCATCTATTTGACTCATGGAAATAAAAAGTTGGTAATTTTTCTCAGTAGTTCACAGTTATATAAGGATTTCTTTTGAACAAATAGAGTGGACTTGAGTTTTTGGATCGTCAGTGCCTCAGCTATTCGTAGATGTGTGGAGGATTTCAGCATGAGCTAAAATCAGTTAGAGAACCACTGAAAAACCTGGGAGTACTGGACAGCCAATTCACGACATAGCAGAAGCTAGAATTCAAGGACCATTGGATCGGGTCCCAGTGGTTCAATGGTCTACGAGCTCGCTAGCCTTGTAACCAGAAGGTCCTGGGTTCGAACCCCTGTGGTGGGTTCGTACAGCTAAAGAGTCCCAAACTAGGACGTAGGAAACATCTGTCCAATACTCGCAGGTTTTCCAATGGTTCTCTAACTGATGTTAGCTCATGGTGAAATCCTCCATGCAATCAAACAAAGTCCCTACAAAACCAGTACTTGAATATTCGTAGATGTCTTGATTTCACTCCCTTTGGTAGGTTTGATGGGTTCCTATATATGGCTTTGAAGGACTTTTCAAATGGAGCTGAATATCCCGTTATCGAACTGTATACCTCTTTGTGTTCTCCTTTTACTAGCTGTGTTGGATAGTGTTCCCGAGAGCTTCATAAAATAGTTATGAATGATGTAGTGAATACGATCATACTAATACTTCGTTTCCTTATCTCAGTTTTCCATCAATTAGGGCCTAATACAAGCAATATAAGACAGACATAATTTCAGTGCAGAAGCGTTGAATAGCGTTGCTTCTTTTAAAGTTTTCGGGGGTTTCTTCTGGTGATTATTTATTACATCTGCATGTGGATTCTTCGAAGTATAAGCTTTACGACCAATATGCATCCCAACAATCTACGCACAACTAAATTCTAGATTCGCTAAAACATTTTTCGAATTCACCTTCATAACTCATACAGGAGGATATTTTAAGATTAGTGAATAGTGTTACCTTTTTTACTTTCAGAAATATTTACATTTCGCTTACATCTTAGTGTAGTCTAGTTGAAACGCAGGGATTTGTATTGTAGAATGATGACTTGACAATATCAGAGTTCTAGGAATTGAAGTTTCGTGAATTAATTGTTAAAAATCAAACTAACCAAGTTGGCTAAAACATACATGAAATTGAAATTAGTGTGGAAATGAAACACACATCATCCAATATCAAAAAGAGGCTTATCCATTCATTCAGTTATTTTGAAACTTTCTAGAATCTTTCATATTGTCAACAATATATACAGATAGTCTTTTAAATTTGTTCTGTAATCTCTGTATAGTTAGTTTTTTTTATTAAAGCACTACACTAGGGCGTATTCATTAATTTTTTCAGTCAATCTAATCTACTTTATGGTTTCATTGATCATATTTATAAAAAAGAATTGACTATCTATGCGTATAATTAGAGCTTTTGACATTTGAACAGTTGTGACATTACTGAACAAAATACATCACGTAAATGGGTTGTTCTTTTTCTTTTCTTACTTTTTCTGTGCCCATACTACTAATGGCTATTCTTATTTCCCTATTATCATTTGCCCTTCACATTCTGTGTCCTGTAGCTGTTTAATTCACTATATAAACGGGGATCACATAGTTGATTAATTCATGCATAACATAACATATATATGTAGATGATTTATGCCAATGTACCTGTGTGCATATACGCATATCGTCTGTTTCGACGTTTTCTTGAAACTGGATTATGATTGTCGTTGATGTGTGTTTCCCCGTTTTAATCTTTTGACTTTCTAGTTTTATGCACATTTTCTAGTTAGATTTATGCATAATATTTATTAATTTTGGTATAGGGAGAATTCTTATCTGTTTTTTTAATTAGTAGTTGGGATTGAAAATAGATTTGTACAGGTAACTGGTTATATATATATATATATATATATATATATATATATTACTATTCATCCTTTCCTGTACTTTTCTTAACTCTTATTATTGCTGTCTTTTATTGCTACTAACTAAAGGCGAAGTAAATATGGAAATATTATTATGGTAAATGTTACGAACAAGGTGGTGTCCTTTGTGTGTAGTGCAAAAATATGCCTAAGTAATGTATAGTACTAATTTGTAGAAGAAACAGTCAATGTTGATAGCCAACCGGTGAATGAAGCATCCAAATATTAAAAGGAAATACATAAGAAAAGTAAGGAAATGATCTAATATAGAGTGACAGCTGTTTTTGTAATTAGAAGATTGTACTTATCTTAACAAACAGCAGTAGAAAGTTTCTTCATCAATCGCGCGTCAGGCCATTATACTTACTTTTTATACTTTACTTCGGCTATCTCCTACGGGAGGATGAGCCGGCTTCATGAACGTCTCGAATCATCGCTGCCCAGGCGCGGCAATTTGTAAGAGAATTCATGAAGTTTCATGGGAATTTGGTACGAGTGATGTCCCCAGAATCGCTCGGCCTTTTGTTTGAGAGTGCAGCTCTAGCCTTTACACAACCAAGTGTGACCTACAAGGCAGTAGGAGTGGAGTAAGGAGTCCACTATCCATTGGCAGCCGATGACCGGAGTTCGGTTCATACGCCTTTTAGAATGGGGCCAGACATCCAGGACATCCAACAAGCCCTTTGTCCATACGTCTGCCGGTGAGCTCCAGTGAGCTTCATACGCCAATCGTTGGAGGTTTGGAATCAGGGTTTAGCCATCTCCCCTAGACTGTCATCCAATGGACAGTCGACCCGGTGGAGAGCGCCAGGCATCCGCTCGAGTGGAACCCGAAAGGGAAGCGGCAAGTGGGACGTCAGTGCAACGTGACATGGAGGAGATCGTGTGAAGTGGAGTTGAAACAATATGGACTAACATGGGTGCAGGTGAAAAGTACAGTAGAAGACAGAAGCAAGTGGAGACGTGCAGTTGAAGCCCTTTGTTCCACTAGGAACCCAAGGGATCAATAATAATAATAATTTCTTTATGTACAGTTGATGTTGATACCTCCGAAACGGTGTATGAGAGATCCACTTGATATGTTAGATGAAGAATTCCAGAAATTGTGTGGAAGGTAGTGTTGGAAGGGTTTGTTGAGAGGTTTTCGTTGGGTAGCTGGAGTTGCAGTTACATGAACAGACAGGTAGTAATTCAGAAACTTGTAATCGTAAAGTTTTATTCACAGGAAGCTTCTTGACTGATCATCCTAAGTGTTGAGCCACTAATATAGTCTCTGTTGTTGTGGTTTCACAGAAGCATTCCTGCATGTATCACTCAGCAGTTATAGCTAGGAAATGCAGTACTGATCAAAGTTAGAAGTCAGACATTAAGTATGATACCTATCAGAATTCTTAGTGTACTCATTGTAAATTTTCTGTAACTGTTTAACCGATATATTAGGTATTGGTGTCTCTCGCGTTTATGTACCTCAAAGGCACTCACTCACTTTTCTCGTAAATGAATATTTATTTATTTGATTACAGCTTGATTCCACACCATATTTTTGGTACAAGTGTGGAATTTTCAGCAAGTGCTATCGGTAGACCAAATTACACGGACCGACCATAGATATCAGGTGTGCGTCGGCAGGGAATCGAACCTCGGAGCATGTGCATGGTCGGCGAGAGTCCTAACCACTGTGCCACCGACGCACTTCATGAGTGAATATTTAGGTGGCTTTTATCTTCGTATAGTTTAATCTATTGGTGGTCATTGCATTAATTGTTACCGCCAGTTGCAGTTATATATTTACCATACAATCATAAAACTTGTGGATTTTCTCATTCGACTGTTTCTATGTATTTGAAAAGAGAATTACTGTAGCTAACGTTTCACTCAAAAGTAATTTATTGTATGCGTACTGCCGATGATTCCCAAACTAGGATGAAACAACTGTCCAGTACTCTCCTGTTTTCATCGGTCCTCTAACCGATATCAATCCGTGGTCAACTTGTAAAAACATAACTAACCCTTACAAACCAAACTATAGATAAATGAACAGTTCTGAGCTTTTATTAGCTTTACATTATTTCACATCGTAAAGAGATAATAGAATTAATTAAGTCATTTTACATAACTGTTCATTCACATAATCTCAAAGTCCATCAACGTAAAACTGCAATTGATTTTTGTTTGTAAGTATCGTAACTGAGTTGACAGAGCTCCAGACTAGTAATTTCACAGGCCATTAGTCTGCTGCATTCTACAGTAAAATAGCTATTCAGTCATCGCCTATTACATCAATACAGTTGTGTATTTATCGCAATACTGAGTATCTGATTCTATATACCTAAAACCACTGATTGAGTGGTATTCATAAATTGCATCATATCAAGCTAGTAGACAGGTAGATAAGGTGAGTCGACCTTTTATGATAATGTCTGTGCCCTTTTAGCAATCGATTCTTGTCTACCTCAAAACATTTTTAAGGCAAACAATGACGTGTTTTGAGCAAGACATTACGCAAATATCATAACAACTTACTCGCTACACATGGGATATAATTTTTTCCACTAAAGTACTTTGAATGTCGTATGGTTATGTAGGTCAACTGAGTGGTATTCATTTTAAAAAAATCTTCAGTATGATGTCACTGGATATAAGATTCGTGTATACACATCACAAAATTAACATTTGTAGCATAGTTAATCGATTTATCGTCGGGTTGTCTGTATACATAAGAACTATGTTGCAGTGGGATGATTATATATAAGCACAGGACAGATAACATATAAGTGGACTTTTACGGGTGGATTTATTGGTCACCGTAACAACAGTTCTAATTTTAGTTCGTTGCTATGTTCCTGTAATGATATAAGAAATATCTTTAGGTATTTTGACAGTCAGTTGTGAATTTGAAAATTTTTTTATTAAGTACTTATTTTCAAGCGTTGATTTGTAAGAATTTCATTTGCTTGTCGAGTTTGACCATTGACTGATATCAGTTAGAGGACCATTGAAAACCAGGGAATACTGGACAGCTGTATCATCCTAGTTTGGGACTCATCGGTAGTACGCACTCACCATCCAGGGTTCGAACCCATGACCTTCCGGTTACGCGGTAGGCTCTTGTACTATTCAGCCACCAAGACCCAATCAGATAGCCCATGAATTCTAAATTCTCTCAGTTCATGATTTTTAGCGCGACCAACAACCAATGTCATCTCTGGGATGACTTTTGAGTCCTTTTTAGTTTGTAGCATTAAGTGTTGCTTGATACTCATATCTAAACAGTAGGTTTCGAAGTTAAACAACTGCACTTACGTTTTCATGATTTCATTCTTGTATATTTAGTCTATTTCATCAGATATGGGTTTTTTTACCCGTATCACTCTGGCTCTAATTTGAAATGGGTTATCCCAATTAATTTCCCAAGTTTTACTCCTTTGAAATAAATAATTCTTTGGGAGAGGTACCTTTCTTTTCCAAAAGAAAACTGACGTAGGTATAACCGATAGCTTTTATCCCCATCGTTTGTAGTAAATCGTATTCATCGTTATCATTAAAAAAGGAACCGTTTGCAGTACAATGTGGTGGATGAAGGGACCTGTGGAGTAATGCCAGTCGAGTGTGAATACCTTTACTAGCGTAGTCTATTACTTAATAACTACTCTATATTAAAAAAAGTAATAAAAATCTGGAAATACAGAGCATTAGGCTTCATTTCATTAGCTGAATAGTGTTGTGATAGTTGCGAAATCGAATGGCCCTCAGTCTCTTCATATCTGGGAGATTGTGTGTGATAGGGCAGTACTGAAGACTAACGTATGACGTTACAAGGTCAAATCCATTCACTTGAACTTCGTTGCATACAAAATGAGTGGTATTCGGGTTTTCATGTTTATTTCAGCTGTTATTGAGGTACCTCTCTCTACCTCTGGATCTTGTTCATCATGAACTATATAATATATGTATTATTCCTTTTTGTGAGTCGCGCGAAGAATTAATTCTTCTTTTCCTTAGCCTATATACTATTCTTTGCCTCACTGTTTGCTTCGTTTCTCTGCATCATTCTTTATTGTTGGTTTTGGATCATGTGCTTCTCGTCATCCAAGTCTTGTCAAACAAAATATCTAATCATGAAGTTTTAAATTCCAAATGTCTGGATGTAACTATTTTTTTAAAGTGTCCTGTTTTTCCCTATCCGTTGCCATGACAAATAAGCCAGTCACATCATTCAGATGAATTATTTAATCAGTTACTAGTCATATACTTTTTAAAGATTAAATGTAAAGAATACAAGTCTCATGTGATATATGCATTGGTGGTATTCAGTTTTTAAATGTAAAAAGAGATACTTCACTTTTCCCCTCAACTAAAAACAACCGCCTTTAACTGTTGAACATTTATTTAGTTGTGGTTTTATGTTAATAGTAATAATAATAGTCTAATGATTATTTTGGGTCGTTAAATTGTTACCATCATATTAACTTGTCTTAGAGATTTTATCAGTGAGTTTTTTCATTGTAACTCGGACACACAATTCCAAGAAGTTTACCTCTCGCCTTCCTTTTAACCTACGCTTTCAAAACACAATAATGTTTCCAATATATGAAATTTTAGAATTCTCCGCTTTTCTTCAAGTTTCCACACTCCATCGTAACTGGGAAAGCTTTGACTTCATGGGTGGTATTCCAGACTTACTTTGTATATTACGAATGCCTAATCATCGCTATTCTAGACCGATGGGCCATGTTAGCTGACATAGGGTCAGGGTGGGAAAGAGCTAGCGGTGGTCAAACCAAAACATGGCACCAGTCAATGAAATCTACAACAGTTAGTTTAAGCCAGCCACGTAGGAAAGTGTAGACTTCCTGGTTGGAGTCCTCGGGATGATAAAAACCAATGGTTGGAAACAGTTGGTGACATGGCTCAAAATCGTTCTCAATGGCTGGCGCAGATGCATCTACTCCCTGTGACTTATGATTTCCAATGAAACTGTTTTGTTCTTCGTTATTACCATTCGTTTGTCTCACACCTGTGTTTACTGTCTCTATTACGCATTTCTTCTACTTTCTCCTCTTTCTCTGTGTGCTACATGGAGTGTGGTGACTTGAACTGGCGCACATATGTGCAAAGTTCTATGTCGAAAACAAACAGAGACAGATTACGAATATAAATTTCCCTCACACTTTTAAATCTAATAATACTTTACTGACTTTCAGAAAGTCATTTTGTTAATAAGAGAGTTAGAAGGAAGAACATCAAGTGTATGTGACTTAAGTCCAGCACTGACATTTTCATTTGCATCCATTCAAACACTTAGGGTTCATACCTTCAGTTAGTATGTTTACAAATCTGTTCAGATGTTGTGTGACTTTTCTTTCAAATGACAATAGATTCAACTTCTATTTTCATATTGTTCATTAATTATGTTTTTGTTTTGTAAATGCTCATTAACCGCATTGTTAAATGTTTTTGTTTTAATCTTCAGTTCGTAACTTCACACGAATGCGTATTCATGCTTTAAATTCTTTGGACTATATCGCTCTTTTTCGTCGAGTATCTGTCCAGTTCAGTAATGGAGGTCGTTATTTCGATAGAAATCATTCACCTGTCGTTGTGGATATACACCGTGATGTTTATAATTCTCAGCCTCGTTGGCTTCCTATCGATTTAGGTTATCGTACAGGTCGTTATCTAAGAATTACACTGTGGTTTGATTATGATTGGATTGTACTCTCAGAGATCACGTTTGATTCATGTAAGTACTTCTGTATTTATTTGTTTATTTATTGGTAGCTGATTATTTATATTTTATAACATGTACTGTTTATATTGTTATTTGTGTAAATCAACATCTTATTATGATTACTATTAATTTCATTAGCCTAAACAAATGCATAGGGTCATTATTTAATTCAGCATTTGTCAAGGTTGTAGTAAAATCTATTGTGGAATCATTAATTCGCATTTTTAAAGTAAACCCCATAACCTTTATGATAGGGTAGTGTTTGAATGCTGAGTGCTTCCATCAGTTGGTGAGAAATCGATTTTTACGTAAACAAGCTTTTTCTTCTATAGAACTGTATTCCTGGGATGTCTGTTTTCGACATAGAACTTTGCACCAATGTGCGCCAGTTCAAGTCGCCACACTCCATGTAACACACAAAGAAAGAGAAGAAAGTAGAAGAAATCCATATTAGAGACAGTAAACAGAGGTGTGAGACAAAGGAATAGTATTAACGAAAAACAATATAGTTTCATTGGAAATCACAGGTCACAGGGAGTGTATGCATCTGCACCAGCCATTGAGAACTATTTTGAGCCATGTCACCGATTGTTTCCAACCATTGCTTTTTACCGTCCCGAGGACCCAAACCAGTCAGGAAGTCTACACCCCTCTACGTGGTTGACTGGCTTAAACTAACTGTTGTGGATTTCATTGACTGATAAAGCCAGGTTTTGGTTAGACCACCACTAGCTCTTTTCCAACCTGACCCTATGTCAGCTAACGTTACCCACCGGTCGAGGAAGGCTATGACTAGTCATGTGTCGTAACACATGTCCTAACCATCTCAGTCTATGTAACTTCACAGCCTCATCGATTGATTTCCTCTCCTTACCTAGCACTCGACCAAGGCCTAACCTCAATATTGCTCACCCTATTGTACCACTTCACACGGGAGATAGAGCGCAGGCACCTATCATCAAAGACAACTAGCTGGCGTTTTCATGTCTTCCACTCTCAATGGCCAGGTCTCACAGGTAGCCATAAAGGAGGACGGAGCGGACTGATGAGCAATACACCCGCCCTTTGGTTGATAACCAGCCGGATATCACGTCTACTAAGCCAGAGACGTCGTAAACTGGCATATGCGAAACTAGCCCCCTGTATCCGTGTTGAGATTTCGTCAGAGATCAACCCATTGGCGCTGGCTGATGGTACTTCCCAAATAAGTGAAGCGGTCAACGTGCTCTACGACTTCACTCCCTATTTCTAAACTAGGAGGGAGTGTAGTCCAATCCTGTAACATCATCTCACATTTGGCGGGAGCGAATCGCATGCCAAACATTCGTAGATCGCAGCTCAAGGTGTTCAGAAGATTCTGCATTTTGTAAGCGTCTTCAAGGACTATATCGTCTGCATATTCTAAATCAGTCAGATTATTCCCCGGTAGCAAGTTGATCCCTGAATCTGTGAAGTGAGTTAAGGTTAAGTCCATCATTACATCTATGATGAAATTGAATAGAGATAGGGATAATGGGCATCCCTGACGGACACCACTAGTCGTTACCACTTCAGATGTCAACTCGCCGTATTCCTGATATGGGGATAATACCTATTATAATAATCAACCGTATTGAATAACTGTCAGAAAACAGCCGTCAGAAATTTCATAAGTGTCATGTACTCCTAAGTTGTTGACTTTTTTGTGCAACATTTAGTCTACCTACTAAGGATATTTCATTGAGCCATTGATTATTTTGGACCTCGTATTTTTTTATCTCACAGACCTTTTGTAAATACAGTTCATAGTAGTAGTAGTAATATTCTATCCTCAAGCAGTAATCTCAATATTTGTTTTGTCTGTTTGAATAGTATTGACTTTTGTTAGATGTCAAGGTAGATCACACTGTATGTGTTATTGAACGAAACAAGCCATGCTCTTTGCGTTCACATGAGACTTCACATGAGTGACTTTAGTGTGTTTTTCCTCTATCGAACTAAGCGTGAATGATATTACCCTTGATACGCGCTCATTCGTAAATAACTCCAGCCAGCAGATCTATTCAATCAAGTTTGACTAATCTGAATTGGTAATTTAATAAAACTTTTATATTGGTGTTAAACAGTCTAAGATCTGATGTCCTAACCAGATGTTTTAAACTAGAATCCCGTTAAAATCTCATCTCACCGATATAAGAAAACAACTCAACTCGAAAAGATACTGATATTTAAGAATATTTAGTAACATTTTAAATAAGATATTTGGTATGAGTATTCACACACGACGATAAATTTTAGTTTTGAAAATAATTCCGAAGAAGAGAAGTTTGCCGTTGAGGTGTTACAAAAATTAAAACCCATCACATCTTGACTAATTCTACAATCTTTCAGGGATATTTCTCAATAACTTTGTTTCTATACTTTCGGAACTTGTTACACTGTAACACCTCTTACTATTCATTTTCGTTTAAAGTTGTACTCGCTTAGTCTATGGGTGCTTAATTGTGTTATTACAAATTGTTCTTGGTTATAGTTCTAAGTGCGGTTTGATCTGTTTTCACTGTCGCCTTTAAAACTTTGTTTTTGAAGCCAGTTGTCAGCATTATTATTGAAATACGGTTAATAATGAAATTGACCAAAGATTGTTCTCATCATTAATCATGATTATTACTGTCTGCCCATTTTGTTATTCACTAGCAGCATCCTTGTCTCCGTGTTTTATGCGCACATACAGGTGGCGGATGATCGTTTTGCTTGAAAAGTGAATTGGTTACTGGTTTGTATTCGTTTGTGTCATTTAAAATCGTGAGAATTGTTTATTAGATCACAGGTAGAATATAATAGTGCACAAATACACACACCAATATAGACACATATATACATGGATAGATTTTCACAAATTTACGTACTTACTGTCAAATTACATCTGGCAGTGAAGGTTCGTTTGTTTACTGATTCCGGTTAATCATTTTTCCATTAATTAATTAATGAATTAAATTATTGACAATTGTTTTGTTCCACATTATTTTGATACAAATAAGCCATATACTTCTATTCTATTCACTTACACATCGAGAAACACAGGTTAATCATTTGTACGGAAGCTGTGTTGGGCTTAAATAGATGAAATGATTGTGTTTGTGATAAAATCCTTTGTGAAAACGATGGCACTTTTTGTGTTTCATCATATGCATGTCAAACAATGAGAAAGGGAGGAGAGAGTTACGGAATCACATGGATATCAAGTCGTAAATATTTCTGATTTAGCTAAAGTGTCTCTGATGCAGTTGTTTGAACTGACGGTCTGTGGCGTTTTGCTAAGTCATTCAAAAGTCAGGGTTATGAAGGAACGAGAATTTGAATACTTTAGCAAAATGTCTAATACCCGCAGTCAGTTTTCGATTATTTTATTTTGGCAAGAGTTATATGTATAGTGTTATTGATGCTGTTATCCTAATACACGGACTCCTAGATTAGAAATAGGGAGTGAAGTCGTAGAGCACGTTGACCGCTTCACTTATTTGGGAAGTACCATCAGCCAGCGCCAATGGGTTGATCTCTGACGAAATCTCAACACGGATACAGGGGGCTAGTTTCGCATATGCCAGTTTACGACGTCTCTGGCTTAGTAGACGTGATATCCGGCTGGTTATCAACCAAAGGGCGGGTGTATTGCTCATCAGTCCGCTCCGTCCTCCTTTATGGCTACCTGTGAGACCTGGCCATTGAGAGTGGAAGACATGAAAACGCCAGCTAGTTGTCTTTGATGATAGGTGCCTGCGCTCTATCTCCCGTGTGAAGTGGTACAATAGGGTGAGCAATATTGAGGTTAGGCCTTGGTCGAGTGCTAGGTAAGGAGAGGAAATCAATCGATGAGGCTGTGAAGTTACATAGACTGAGATGGTTAGGACATGTGTTACGACACATGACTAGTCATAGCCTTCCTCGACCGGTGGGTAACGTTAGCTGACATAGGGTCAGGTTGGAAAAGAGCTAGTGGTGGTCTAACCAAAACCTGGCTTTATCAGTCAATGAAATCCACAACAGTTAGTTTAAGCCAGTCAACCACGTAGAGGGGTGTAGACTTCCTGACTGGTTTGGGTCCTCGGGACGGTAAAAAGCAATGGTTGGAAACAATCGGTGACATGGCTCAAAATAGTTCTCAATGGCTGGTGCAGATGCATACACTCCCTGTGACCTGTGATTTCCAATGAAACTATATTGTTTTTCGTTAATACTATTCCTTTGTCTCACACCTCTGTTTACTGTCTCTAATATGGATTTCTTCTACTTTCTTCTCTTTCTTTGTGTGTTACATGGAGTGTGGCGACTTGAACTGGCGCACATTGGTGCAAAGTTCTATGTCGAAAACAGACAGACAGACGTCAGGTAGCCAGTTGACCTACTGCATAACGAACGAGTACTTACATCATAAGCCGGTTTTGGATTTGTAAGCTACATTTTTGTCTTTAACTTTTGATGCACAATTGTGTTTAGGTAAGATATATACAGACGTGTATGCTTATATTTTTGTGAGTGAACCCTGACATTTCTAGAAATATGATCCTCCAATACAATGGTTGTACACGAAATCATCAACATAGAAGACAGTTAAATACATTTATGAAATACAAACAAAGTAAATTCCACACACACACATAACAGATAATCCCTCAATTGTACCCGAGATAAGCAACAAGATTTTTCGGTAGATATTGTCGTTAGGCTGAATGTAATCAAAGAAGGAAATTTCTCTCTGTTTTTCTTATTCTTGCCAATAATCTCTCTGAAAATTTTCAAAATGTCGGAAGAAATTGAAATTTCACCGCAACGTCAAATTTCATGTAAAATATCTGTGTTCACGCACATGTTCATGAATCAACAATGATTTAAAATGCTTGTTACCGCCTTCACTAGCATCTCTATATCTTGAATGGGGTATTTACTATTTATATTTATGAATACGTTAAATATTGTTGTAGACACGAAAATCAAATCAAGAAACCTGAAATTTATAGATAGAAGGAGAAATC